GCCCCTCCCCCCTCCCGCGCAACGGTCCCGAGGGCCGGGTCTCGGGGCCCCAACAACTGCCACGCTAGGCGGCCCTCGACTAGCCTCGGAGCGAAACACTGAGCGCTCCCGCTTCGGGCGCCCGAAGCCCCAGAACACTCGGCGTCCGGCCTGCCCCGCCACCCAGCCCCGCCCTGCCGCGCGCCCTGACCCGTGAGCAGGATGTTCGGAAGCAACATGGTCCTCAACTCGACGGCTCTGGAAACCCCGGCACAAGGGCCCTAAGCACAACAGGGAGGAGCCGGAAGGGGCGAGCGGTGGCGAGCGCCTGTGGCCCCAGAGTCATCGAGGCCCAGCGCAGCGCTCGTGATCCATCTCCGCTTTCCAGTCACAGACCACTGGTTACCGGGCCTTCTATGACACACTATCACCGCAGGGTTCCAGACAGGGAGATAGGGGGAGACAGCGATTCGAGTCAGGCAGTACGCTGGATACCTAAGTCACTCACTCCTTTGGCGGTCCCCGCCCTTCGCGCTGTGTCGCGGAAGCGCCGAGCGGTGTGGAAGGTCCCGGGAGGCGGGACCTCGGAGAGGCTCGGCGCTGAGCCCTGGTAGGGCCGGGTGGCTGCCCTTCCACCTGGAGCGGAGCCGGCGCTCCTCTGCTCCTCTCCGCCCACGAGGTCATGCAGCTCCCCGCAAGTAAGGCGGCCGCGGCTGCAGCTGTGTATGTGTGTCCTAGTAACGCGAGTCCGTGTCTGCCTTCAGGCCTTCCCGGGCGCCCGTCGCTCCTCCTCCGGACCTGCCCATCCCATTTGCGGACGAGAGGGGTGGGGGTGCAGACCTCTGGCCTAGAGCCGGAGCAGGGGAGCCTATCTCGGTTCTTCGCTGATGAGCAGCAGCCGTATGTTGCACGACTTTCTGAGCAGTATGTAGGGTGGTGGTGGGTCTGCTAGACATATTCTCAGAAAGTCTCTTCTACCTCTGACGTCTCATTTCAGGAACGTGGCTTCACCAGGGACAGTTACCTGCTCTTTAAAGGAGGTAATTGTCAGTCTTGTTTTCAAAGAACACTAGCGCCCTGACCGTTAACAGGACGCTGACTGTATTTGACCTGCCAAGTATATTTACTCAAATAGGTGGTTTTTCCCCCACCTACGTATCTCTTTGAAACTCCAAAGCAAAAACCTTTCTAATCGCAAACGATTTGTATGTGTATGATTTGTTTTCTAGTGTGTGGGAGTATTTACACGTGTGCCTCCAAACTATAAAAGTCCAATATACCTTCCAATTTATAAGTTTATAGCCGTTTAAAAAAACTTTCCTTCTGGCTAACTTAAAATTGGTGAATTTACTAGTCTGTATAAACATTGAAGAATTATGAACGTCAGAAAACAGTGCTGTCAAAAAATTTCCTAATATGTTAAAATAAGGAATACAGTTACAGGAAAAATCTACAATAAGATTTAAAGTTTTTGTCCAAAGTGAGTGATAAGTTTGAATTCATTAGATGGTGGAGTTGTGTGTTTTTTTAATTTTGGCAATGAAAAACTGCAACTGTAATTTAAAATGAGGGACATTTTAATTTTCCATATAAAAACTGCACAAATAAAATTGCCTAATTTTTCTTAATGACAGAAGGTAGGTACACAAATATGTGGCTTTTCTATTTTCTCTCATTATTGAGTTCATATGAAATACTTTACATTTTTTTTAATTGATTTTTTTTAGGAAGAGAGAGAGAGAAATATCTACTTCTTGTTCCACTTAGTTTGATTCTTGTATGTGCCCTGACAGCAATGGAACCTTCAACCTTAGCTATCTTCACGCTGTAACCGACTGAGCTTCCTGGCCAGGGCAAAATATTTTTCACTTACAACACCATAAATAAATTATTTGACACAGGTTATAGTCATTAAAACTAAAATTAATTTTAGCGTTTTGATACTTGCTTCACTTATGCTTACTATGTTCTCTTCCACTGGTCTTGAGCTTTAACTTTATCATACTGCTGATTATATCATATATATTAATTACTATTATTACAGTTTTTCTTGATTGAGAAATTTTATTCTTTTTCTTCCTAGGTGAATTATACTTTAATGTACTACAGGTTGTACACTACGGATGGGAACTATTAAAGTTTATAATGTCAAAAGCTTTTCTTAGACGAAAGGTATCTTCCACAAAGGTATGATACACTAAAATGGCCATATAATAATAATTGCCCAAAAAGAAATACATTTTTGTACATGTTCTTAATGATTTATTACTGCTATCAATATAATGGTGCCCAGTAGTCGCTGCTGTAATTAGGGATCAAAAAGTCTAATAATAAGTTGTGAAACAACTACACTGAAAGTACAACCTTAATTTTGAAAAATCATTTATAATCCCAGTTACAAAGAAAAGGCTGAACACACTAGAATGAAAGAGCAGTAGAAGAAAAGAAAAATGTGAGTTGTAGTTGGTGTTAAAGCTTAACAACAGGCCCTGCCTCTTAGAAATCATATGGTTCAGTGAACTAGTTCTCCACAAAGTTAGGAGGTAGAGTAGATGAAGGTCAGACAATATATCATACTCACATGCAAAATAGCTATTTTCCTAGTGGTTGATATGATTTATCGTTGATCTTAAGTAAATTATGTAACTTTGCTCTTTCTCTTTTTTTGAGTAAAGGAGAAATAAAACCATAAAATGTGTAACATATAGATCAGAATTGCTATCAAAAGGATTACTATAATAGATAATTTTTTTTATGTAATCTTAAAAATAGAGGAAAGTGTCCAAAATTGTAGTGACAGTCTTTTGAAGAGGAGAAAATCAGTAGCTAGGACTGAAATTTTTTCCAAGTGGTTTTCATGTCTTTATCCACTACTGATAGTATATATTTTAGACTATGTATCTTCACAAATTCTTAGAAATATAGGGATTATTTTGGTGTATGAAATGTAATGTATTAACTTGGTTAAGGCAGAAATATTACTCTTCTCACTTTGTACATGGTTAAAGTAATATTTTATTTCTCTATTATGACTTGCTTTTTTTGGATAGGTAATTTAAGTATTTAGGTTTCAATCCTACAAATGAGTTTTATTTATTTATTATTTTTTAATCCTCACCCAAGAATATATTTTGCATTGCTTTTCAGAGAGAGTGTGGAAGGGGGAGAGGGGGAAACATCGATGTCAGAGAGACACATCCATTGGTTGCCTCCCAAACGTTCCCCGACCAGGGCTGGGGTAGAGCCTGTAGCCAAGGTACACGTCCTTGGCCGGAATCGAACCTAAGACCCTTCAGTCTGCAGGCTGATGCTCTAACTACTGAGCATAACCAACTAGGGCCTACAAATGAATTTTGAAAGAATCAGCCTACTTTTTATCCTGGGCAGATTTCATTAATAAAAAGAATTAAGTTTGTGTTCTGTATTCCTTTATATGGTATTCATCATTACCATGGTCAAGTAAACAAGTATGCATTTGCATTTATTGTAAAGTACAAAATTAACTAATACATGCGAAATCAGTTTTATTTAAAGAACTAATTTGTGAGATTTTTTTTAATGTTACAAATATACAAATTTTTTTTTTACAGAGTAGTTCAATTATATAGGAAATAGATGTAAAAAAATGTAACAGTATTTACATGTGTTTTTTTTCCAGGTAACAGATTGGGTAGACCCATCATTTGATGATTTTTCAGAGAATACAAGCATCTCCACTATTACTACCACATCATTAAGTGTAAATAACTCAAGTCATAGAGGAAAAAACGTGTCTTCCACATTAGAAAGTAGTAGATTTCCAACGAGAAAAAGAGCGACCCTGTCTTCTTCAGAACAGATATATGGTCTAGAAAATTCAAAAGAATATCTATCTGAAAATGAACCATGGGTGGATAAATACAAACCAGAAACTCAGGTACTAAATAGCATGCAAACATAATTTTATTTCAGGAAGGAGAGGGATATGCATTTTCAGATTATTACTCATAAAAATCTTTCTATCTAAATGAAAGAGGGGGAAAAAACAATAATTTCCAGTTTTTTTAATATCCCAAGGCTCAGATTTTTCTCAAGTTATTCTGAAGTAGTATCATTGCTTATTTGCTTAGATTAAATTTAACCCCAAAATAGAATTGATTTGTTTATGATCTGTTTATGACAGAAAAAATTAAGTGTAATCAACCTTTTTTATTGCTATTATTGTTTGCTAGTTTTAAAATGTTTAGTTTAGATTAATCTGTGCTGATGTACCAGAAATCCTTGAGTTAAAATGTTTTATTTTAAACTTGAAATTTTTAGCATGAACTTGCTGTGCACAAAAAGAAAATTGAAGAAGTTGAAACATGGTTAAAAGCTGAAGTCTTAGAAAGGCAATCAAAACAGGTAATTAATTTAAAAATATATTTTAAATAACACACAAATTTTTGTCTTATGGGTGGTTGAAAGAAGTTAAACTTTTATGCTGACTTATTCAAATAGATCCAGATCACTAGCCATGGAAAGCTTTCTGATCTTATTACTTCTGGCTTCACTAAAAGATTCTGACACTTTGAGTTTTCCCCTGTACTTACAGCTCTTTTTTCCTCCTATGTCCTGTCATCAGCATAAAGCACAGTAAACCAGTTCAGGTGCTAGTATATTTAGCACATAAGGTATCTCACACTGAAGCAAGCAGGCAAATTACATCTTAGTTTTTGTACTAAATATAGCCTGAAACAGTCATCATTCATTTATTCTGTTTTTTTGTTTCACTTCCTAATACCACAATTACTCTCAGCCCCCTAAGCTAGAATATTCTCTTTTTTGTGTGTGTGTGTGTGTGTGTATATATATATTTAAACTGATTTCAGAGGAAGGAAGGGGGGGGGAGAGAGAAACATCAGCGGTGAGAGTCATTTATCTGCTGCCCCCTGCTCGCCCCTTGCTGGGGATCGAGCCAGCAACTCTAGCTTGTGCCCTGAGTGGAAATTGAACTGGGACCTCCTGGTGCATGGATCAGTGTTCAACCACTGAGCCACACCGGCTCGGCTCTCTCTCTTTTAAGCTCTTCTAATTTTGAGATTCTTCAAACATAAAAATAGAATAGTAAATTAATACATGGACTCAAACAGTTTTGCAAGAATACTTTATAAGTCTTGGTATGTATTTTATATTGTATCCTATCAGAAAATATGTCTGGTTCTGCTGTTTTTGATGTTAAGTTTGATCACTAGATTACGGAGGTGATAGTCAAAAATCTTCATTGTAGCCTTGGCTGGTGTCACTCTGTTGGAGCATTGTTCCGTACACTGAAAGGTCACAGATTTGGTGTCTGGTCAGGGCACATACCCAGGTTGTGGGGCTGGGGTTTAAGAGAGGCAACTGATCAGGTGTATGTTTCTCTCTCATATCGATCTTCCTCTCTCTCTCCCTCTCCCTTCCTCTTTCTAAAATCAATAAAAACATGTCCTTGGATGAGGATTGAAAAAATAATCTTCATTGTAAAGTAATTTTCCCTTGTAACTGTCACGTGATCTATGGGGAGATACTCTGGCAACATGTAAGTGTCCAGTTCCTCAGCAGTCTTTCACCTAAGTACTTTAGTATCCATTTTCTGTCCTTATGTGTGTTATTTTAACACTAAACCAAAGGGTTAGATCTGAAAGCCAGACAGAAAGACCGTGATTCAAAAGAGGACCTGTTACCATTGGAGGCAACTGAAACATTAACTGCTTCATCTCAAAGTTCAAAATTAAAGGGAATGATTTTTTTTTAATCAGATTTACTGTATAAGGGAATATTACTGGGACCTTCAATCTCTAGTCTCTTTAGAGTCCTAAAGAATCTGAACATAAACTGAGGTTTTCCTATTAGAATGTTGTACTTGTATAATAGAAAGCATGTAATACAAAGAGTTCTGTATTAAGATTGAATTTTGTGAGTTCAGGTAACCTCTAAAAATGTTTGTTTCAGACATTACCTCCTTAATCTAGCTAAAGTTTAGTTGTTTTAATTTGGCTACTAAGTAGTCCTTGGGAGGGGCATAATGCAAAAATTGAAGAATTACCGGAAGCTACCCTTAAAGTTCAGTAAATAAAATTATCTTATTTTAGTTAAAGCTGGTTTGTTCCAGCTAGCATTATTATGAAATGTAGTCTGCTTATACTAGACATTCAGTAAATATTTATAGAAGTAATTAATATTTAGAAAGAAAATTTTAACAATCTAGCATTCCAATGATTTTGATTCTTAATGTTTGTATTTGGTTTTAGGGTGGATCTATTTTATTAATAACAGGACCTCCTGGATGTGGAAAAACAACAACTGTAAAAATACTGTCAAAGGAACATAGCATTCAAGTACAAGAGTGGATTAATCCAGTTTTACCAGACTTCCAAAAAGATGATTTCAAGGAGATACTTAATCATGGTAAGTTTTGCTATGAAGGTAATGGAAATACTGGGAAAAGTCTGTGCTTAACAGACATTTGAAACAAACTCCTATCCATATCCTTAAGATTCTTAAGGTCCTTTTTGATATTTGTTTTTGAGAGAAAGATGTATATTGCCTCTGCTATAGTAGGTTGGCATCTGCCACTACCAACTGCTTTCCAAGGTCAGAGTTGGAATCAAATGAAACTATATGACTGCATTGTCTCCCATACTTCTCAGTTTTCGGAGAGAAGTAATTTCACGAGAAGGAAAAAATGGTGTCTCCAGTAGAGAAAAATGGGATTCTTTGAGGATTAAGTCTTACTGTTTTGTTAAGTAACAAGCTAATCTCTTAGTGTTATTTATGTACTTTTTTCAGGCTTGGCTAGGAATTAGGCAGTGTAAATGAAATCTTTTTGTTTCTATGTAAATCAAGCTTTAAGATATATTAAAGGAACTTGTCTCCAAACTAGAGGAGAGAACTTAGATCAGACCTGTGAGAATCAAATAAAATCAAAGCATGAGTCAAAGACTGTTTGGAATTGGGAAGGCCTTAAGTATCCAAAAATAATAATACCAATTTAAAGATGTGGTACATAACTTCACATGTATGCTTACATACTCCACAATATTTAACTGTCATAGTTTTTCTTCTTGCTACTATAACTAAACTAGAGGTAGTCAAATCTCCTAGGCCACTTTGAAGTGAAAGAGGTTTTGTAGGACAATTTTAATGTGGAATATATTCCTCAAAATCTCTTCTCTGTGAATATGCTCTGTGCATACTATATGCTTAGTATACACACCCTTATGTTGCTAGTATCCCTAAAATTTTTACTGCTTTTTAAACGGGAATATTACTTCTGAAAATCTAGCAAGTCTTTATAAAGTCTTTTATATGAAACATGCCTTCCCTTATTCCCAAGTTCACTAATCAGTCAGTCATTCTACTTCTGTTGTTAAACCTTTATTGTTGAAAATAATTTATTTATAGTCACAAACTCACTTGAAGAATCTTCATTGTGTAGGCAAAGTCGTATTTTTACTAATTGTATAGAATGACAACTGTGTTCTGAAGTCAGTTGACTCCATAGTACATTCACTGGTGTGCAAAATTCCTGGTGTTCATGATGACTCTTGCCTTTTTTTAAGTTTTTTCTTTTTTTTTTTTTTTTTTTAATTTCAGAGAGAGGAAAGGAGAGGGAGAGAGATAGAAATATCCGTTGGCTGCCTCCTGCACACCCGCTACTGGGATGGAGCCCAAAATCTGGGCATGTGCCCCAACCTGGAATCGAACCAGCTACCTTCTGTTCTGTAGGATGTCACTCAACCAACTGAGCCACACCGGCTGGGCTGACTCTTATCTTTTTTATTTATTTATTTTAAATGATTTTATGGCAGCCAAAACAGTGGAATTAACTGTACATAATAAACTATTTTATATACATGTATACACGTTTTAAGTTATAGGGAATTAAGTTTATTTTGGCAGAGAGTGTTAAAGTTGCATACATTAGTAACATAACTCAACATCCTTAATTTGGTATAAGTGTGACACATGTTCTTGCTTTCCTGTGTTCTGCTAATCACCATAACTGACTCTTATCTTTTGAAATGAATATCCTATTTTAAATATGGACTGTTTTGTCCAGCTGGGCATGGCTCAGCAGTTGGGCATCGACCTATGATACAGGAGATCCCAGTTCGATTCCCGGTCAGGGCACATGACCAGGTTGTGGGCTCAATCCCCAGCAGGAGATGTGCAGAAGGCGGCCAATCAGTGACTCTCTCATCATTGATGTTTCTATCTTTTTCTCTCTCTNGGATGTGCAGAAGGCGGCCAATCAATGACTCTCTCATCATTGATGTTTCTATCTTTTTCTCTCTCTCCCTCTCCCTTCTCTCTGAAATCAATAAAGATATATTTTAAAAATATAAAAAATAAAATCAAATCCTGTCTTTAAATATGAACTGTTTTCCCTAATTAGAAAACAGTCTATTGTGAGCTCTTCTTACNAGATGTGCAGAAGGCGGCCAATCAGTGACTCTCTCATCATTGATGTTTCTATCTTTTTCTCTCTCTCCCTCTCCCTTCTCTCTGAAATCAATAAAGATATATTTTAAAAATATAAAAAATAAAATCAAATCCTGTCTTTAAATATGAACTGTTTTCCCTAATTAGAAAACAGTCTATTGTGAGCTCTTCTTACATATGTAAATGTACTCATTAATGTATTTGNTAAAAAATAAAATAAAATCCTGTCTTTAAATATGAACTGTTTTCCCTAATTAGAAAACAGTCTATTGTGAGCTCTTCTTACATATGTAAATGTACTCATTAATGTATTTGTACATTAATTATGTACATATGTGTAATATTGATGTATATATGTTGTTAAATATGTTTCCTTACAGAATCAAGCTTCCATATGTTTCCCTACCAGTCTCAGATAACAGTTTTTAAAGAGTTTCTACTAAGAGCAACAAAATATAACAAGCTACAAATGCTTGGAGATGATCTGAGAACTGATAAGAAGATAATTCTGGTTGAAGTGAGTACAACTTTTGAAATCCTGCAGTAACTACAGAGTAAACAATTGCAAGATATATCTTATGTGATAGTGACATTAACTCTCTTCATAGTATTAATAGTGGTAAAATATAACGTAAGGCTTAATGATAGCAGAAACTTAACCTATTTAGTAAACTTGAATAGAGTAGCTATAGGTTAATGGACTTTAAAATTTTAACAGCTTAAGTGTAGAAAAGCAAAATTAATATTTGAAAAATGACGTCTTAGTGAACATACTATAACTAGTAGTGGCCCTAAGAAATTTAATGTGAAAATTGGGTTTCCCATTGATATATATTACTGTTGAGGATATCAGCTATTTCATATTTCCCTTCCATGAAAGTTATGGCTGTGATACATTAAATAGATACCAATTTTTCCTGTCGTGATAATTATAAGTCTGAAAATAAATTTACAAGGGAATAAAACTGAACAAGTATTTATTATGTATTTTCAATAGGATTTACCTAACCAGTTTTATCGAGATTCTCATACTTTACATGAAGTTCTAAGGTGAGTTTCAGTGAAGTTTTCTAAAATTCCAAATTAAACGGCAAGTGGCTTAAATTTCAGTATTGCTGTGTTTTGTTATTTTAGGAAATATGTACAGATTGGTCGATGTCCTCTAGTGTTTATAATCTCTGACAGTCCCAGTGGAGATAATAGTCAAAGGTTACTGTTTCCCAAAGAAATTCAAGAAGAGTGTGCTATATCAAACATTAGGTAAGAATTAAATATGCTTAATATGTTCACATACACGTTGTATTTTAAATTACTCATTCAACCATTTTCTTGTTGTATAAAACTTACAGTTTCAACCCTGTGGCACCAACAATTATGATGAAATTTCTTAATCGAATAGTGACAATAGAAGCCAATAAGGTAAGTTTCTTAAGAACTAATTAATTTGAATCTTACATTGTAATTATACAAAACCAAACTTAAGTAATATTATGTAAACTTGAAGAGTTGGAGACACATACCAGTTTTTAGAATTAAAACATTTTATTGCCCGGCCGGGCGTGGCTCAGAGGTTGAATGTAGACCTAGGATCCAGAATATCAGGGTTCGATTCCCAGTCAGGGCACATGCCTGCGTTGCAGGCTAGGCAGCCGATCAGTGACTCTCTCATCATTGATGTTTCTCTCTCTGTCTCTCCCCAAATCAATAAAGATATATTAAAAATACATATATAGAGAGAGACTTAAATTTTATTTATCAAACATTAAGAAATAATAAAAATAATATACTATTTTATCACCTTAACTTAGAACTTTTTATTTTAAGACTAAGTCGTTAAATTGCAAATAGCATTTACTTTAGCAAGTTGTACTATACTAGTAAAAAAGAGAGATTATCCCTTCTTTGTTATGTAGTTAATGTGCTCTGTCTTAAATAGTTGACCGACAAGAATGTTATAGCTGTCACAGGAAGAAGAACAAACTTTTTATAAAATCAAATGTTATTCCAAGGATGATAATGATAGTATAGGAAGATCTAAAGGAGACTTTAATCTCTTACATTCTGTAGCTTAATTATAATAAGAAGGACTGTTAACATCCTAGGTGAATTTTTTCCCCGTACATACATATCTGTGATAAAGTTTAATTTATGAATTAGGCACAGTAAGAGATTAACAGCAATAGCTAATAATAAAATAAAACAGTTATAATAATAAAATAAGGGTTAATTGAACACAAGCACTGTGATACTGTGAGAGTCAATCTGAAAACCAAGATGGCCACTAAGTAACAGGCGGGTGGCTGTACAATGTGGACGTGCTGGACAAAGGGATGATTCACATCTTGGGCAGAATGGAGCAATGTTTCAAGACTTTATCACGCTAATTAGAATCGCATACAATTTAAAACTTGTGAAGTGTTTATTTCTGGAATTTTCCATTTAATATTTTCAGATTGCAGTTATGGGTAACTGTAACCATGGAAAATGAAACCTCGGATGAGGGGGGGATTATTGTAATAAGAAAGAGTGCTGAGTAGCTGAAGTTCTTTTTGTTTTTTTTAAGTTTAAATAGATGTTTCTCTGTTTTTATAGGAAAAAAGGTCTTTAGTCTTTTCTGATATCACTAAGTATATAAAATGTGGAAAGAACTGCTGACCACACATTTCAGCCACATTTACATGTTCATAGTAATTAACATTAATGGTACTTTCTCCAAGGATCATAACTTCTTTCTTTTCTTTTTTTTTTCAAATCATGATTTCAATTACATTTCCTTTTTGGAAAGTAATCCATATCTAGAATTTTTCAAAAGAATTCTCAAAATAATTTTTAAATTCAGTGAATTCACAATAAAAATGAAGTTAATATGAAAGAGAAATTCATAGGCATGATGAAGAGCCCAGGCAGTATGGCTCAGTGGTTGAGCATTGCCCCATGAACCAAGACATCATGGTTCAATTCCCGGTCAGGGCACATGCCAGGGTTGGGGGCTCAATCCCCAGTAGGGGGTGTGCAGGAAACAGCCCACTGATGATTTTCTCTCATCACTGATGTTTCTGCCTCTCTTCCTTCTTCTCTCTGAAATCAATGAACACATACTTTAAAAAAAAATTTTTTTTTAATTTTCTCATTTTAGAATGGAGGAAATATTACTTTCCCTGATAAAAGTTCTCTAGAGTTGCTCTGTCAAGGATGTTCTGGTGATATCAGAAGTGCAATAAACAGCCTCCAGTTTTCTTCTTCACAAGGTAACTATGGAAGATACATTCTTACAGCATTATATAGGTGACTAAGTTCTCTTTTATTGTTCATGAAATGAAATCAGACTAAACCTATTTTAACTTATAATTGGTACATTACTAATCTTCACTTACTATTTTTTTATTGAGACAGTGTCATAAAATTGTATGTGTACACATGCATGCACAGCTCCGTGAATATGCCATTGTATGTATCTGTACATCTGAGACAAAACCTGATTCATTTATGTGCTTTGCTGCTTCACCTTTCACAGTTAATTTCACTTCCTGGGTGAAAACCCCCACTCTCCCACTTAGCAATGACTTAATCTTACAAGTGACTAAATCTTTCTCTGTTTTCTCAGCTTTTATATAAGAACCTGTCTCAAGTTTTGTGAAGAATAAATGAATTAATTACTTGTGTTTACTCCAGTGCTTGATACATACTGAGGACTCAATAAATGGCCAGCTGTTAATGAATTTAATAATGTGCTTATGTAGATTTAGTTTTGAACTTATTTCATAATAATTTATATATGATATGTTTAATAAATTTCCCCTTAGTGATACGTAAAAGGGGTGCACAGCCATATTATATTAAAGAGATAGCCCCACCAATGGCAATGAGTTTCGTTTTTACTATAATATTCATAGTTTGCTGCACACAGTCTTCATCAGAAAACATTTAACAAGTGACCTAGTTGATGCTTAACATTGAGAAATTGACTTTAGAATATTAAAAACCATCTTTGGAGGTCTCAAAATCCACCTGAAATACTAGTTTCTGCTCATAAGTGTAACATGTTCATCAGGCTTTTATCTTTATTTTTCAAAGTAAGTGTAGAGAAATAGGCAGCCTAACACAACTGAAAACAGAATTCTTATTTCTGTAGAAATGTAAAGGTCTTTAGGTTCACTACTGGAATTAAGGGTTAGGAAGGCTGAAGTGGGCCACTTTGAGGTCCTAACTACCATTTTTAATGTTATTGCTTTGAGCTCAGACATTGTAAAGGGAAGAAAGTAAAATTTTTTGAGTGGGTCAGGAACTGAATAAGAAAAAATTCTATGGTTTTTTATTTAATTCTCAGGTCAGCCTAATGAAATAGATGATACTAGTATTCTAACCCAGATCCTATGTTCTTTCTGCTATTTCAGGCTGCTTTTATTAAGTGATATATTCTGAGTTTTAAACAGTAGATTTACCAATGAAATTTGAACACAAGCATATTTATAACTTGGGAGACTGCCCAAATCAGGAGAGAGGTAATAAAGAGTAGTTGTTACGCATGGATTGCAGAACCAGGCTGCCTGGATTCAAATAACCTACTAAATGATGACCTTGAGCCAGTTACTTCTTTATATCTCATTTCTTTCACCTGTGTAATAATAGGTCTCTCCTAATAGAGTTTTTATGAGGATTAAATTAGTTAACACATATCATGCATCAAGAAGAGCACCTTGCACGAAACACTGAGAAATCAGGGTGATATGGGTATGACCATATACAGACTGTGTCATTTGGACATGTGAAAATGTGAAATCTGTGTCATGAAATACTTTTAGATGACATTTAATCTGTTTTAATAGTTCAGTAACTCAAAGAGGACGACTCTGAGTTCACATTCTTTATAATGATTGTTTATTAGAACATATTTAATTAGGACACTTAGTGTAACTGCATTTGAAGTGTTCAGCTTTAGCTTTCACACTTAATTTTATTTTAAATGTCGTCACTTGGGTGTATATTATTTAGGAAGGAACAACTTGTGCCCAAGGAAAAAAGGAATGTCTTCATTAAAATCAGATGCTGCGCTGTCAAAATCAAGACGAAGGAAAAAAACAGACAAGGTTTTTGAGAATCAAGAAGTCCAAGCTATTGGTGGAAAAGATGTTTCTCTCTTTCTCTTCAGAGCTTTGGGGAAAATACTGTATTGCAAAAGTAAGAAAACCTTATACATTTTTAAAAAATTGTTAGATATTAGTCTTACAGCTGAAATAAAATGCCAAAAAATTTTAAAAGCCATGTACTTGGTTCTGTTGTAGGAAAGAACTAGGGCTAGGTCAGATACTGTTTGGCAAGGCCTAAGCAGGAAAATATATTTATCTAGGTGCTTGGTAGCTTCAGGTTTCTTTGGATTCTCTTACATTTCTCTAGTCTCTTCACTGGCTGCTCCGTCCCCAACTGGAGATGTTCTTGCTTGCTTTCTTTTTTTTTAAATAACACTTTATTGAATTGGGGTGACATGGAGATGTTCTTCCTTTCTCCTCTTGTCTTTAATGACTGCTTCCCCTCAGCCCCTTCACACCATCACCCATCTCTAAGCTCCCAAATTGTTTCTCCTTTCAATAAAAATCAAAATTTCTCTTCATGTGGAAAATATCAGTTTTCAGTCTTACAATCCTGAAGGAAGAAAACTGAGATTTCTTTTTTTATCGATCTGATGTGATTTTTATGAATAAAACAATTTATACTGATTTTTGAAGGAAAATCATTGCTGTAGTTTAGAATAGTTTTATATAACAAAAAATAAATCATCATGATGAACAACAAAAAAAAGTCTTATGCGGCTGCATTATCCTCAGTATTACCTAAGATAGTTTTTCAACTCTCTTGTAAAATAGCTGCATCAGTGAGTCACAAACAGTCTGAACAGACTTCACTGAAGTTCATCCTTTTATGCCCGTTACTATCTGAGGCTGTTTTCTGGTTGCCAAAAACCCAGTTGTTTCAAACTACGGCTGTTCTTTTCCTATAAAACTCCATGAATGCCTCTTATACCTGCTTCCCATCTATCTTCCTTGTCGAAAATTGGGATTTCTAAATGGAAACCTTCGTGCCACCTGAGGAAAATGAAACAGGTATCACTGAGGTGGAACTGAGGACACTCCTGTCTGGCTCCTCCGACCTCTGAAGCTCGGTAACCATTCCACGGATTCTTTCTTTGCACCTTTCTTTTCCTCCTCAACATCCTTTCACAACCCCTTATATTAGGGATTAAGTTTCCTGTTCTGCAAAGAGCAGCCTCTGCCTACATAGTAAATAAAGCAGAAAAGGCCTCTATATTGAGACAAGAATCGAAAGAAGAAAGAACTCAGAGCTGGAAAGGTGAGATGTGGAGTGACTTAAGAAGTGGAATATTTTAATTTTAGAAATTCCATTATCTAGGTATCAGAATGCTAAATTTTTCTTAATAGTGAGGCAACTCACATAAGCTTCCAGTTATTTTGTTTTTTATTTTTAACAGCTCACTTTGTATTTTTGGAATTATGTGCCTAAAGTATTGAAAAGCCTTCAAGTGAGAGGTGCTATATGATTATGAAGGTGATGTTTTTAATCCTGAAATTTTTTACAGGAGCATCTGTAATAGAGTTAGACTCACCTCGATTGCCCTCCCATTTATCAGAGTACGAGCGGGATACACTGCTTGTTCATCCTGAGGTAAAGTGTGAAGTCTTTAATAACACTAAGTACCGCTTACAAGACATGCATGATTTACATTTGTGGGCATATACATTTGACCACTGCATTTTTACCAACATTATGTATCTGTACTTTTTGTTTTTAATTATAGGAAGTAGTAGAAATGTCACACATGCCAGGAGAGCTATTTAATTTATATCTTCACCAGAACTACGTTGATTTCTTCATGGAAGTAGATGATCTTGCAAGAGCCAGTGAATTTCTGAGTTTTGCAGATATCATCAGTGGTGACTGGAATGTAAGACGGTTCAACTTAAATGTTTTTGTTTTTTATTTCCTCAGAATTGAGAAAAAAAATTTACTTTTATTCTTAATATTTGATGTGATTTTCTGTAACAAAAACTGTAAGAAAATTAATTCACCTAACTCAGTGTTTGTAATGAAGCTTCAGCAGTTAACTTGAATTTTCTGGTGATAAAATAACACTAATTTTTTCTAAAGTTGTTTTCTGATTTTAAAATTAATATATGCTCAGAAATTTTGATAATCATTGAAAAGTGGATAGAAGGAAAATCACTGTACCTCTTTCTGTACTTTCTGCTAGTTTTTAAATGTTTGGTTTTTTTAACAAACTTGAAATTATTCACTACAAAATTTGTATTTTTTTCTTAACATTTTAACAATACTCTGACCAATATAGTAGCCAGTAGCTACATGTAGCTAATTAAAATTCAGTTTTTTTAGTCACACTAGCCACATTGCCAGCATTTGCTAGTTACATGTAGCTAATAGCTACTATATTGAACAGCCCATATACAAAACATTTCTATCATAGAAAGTTCTATTGGTTAACACTGTTTTGATGTTAACATTTCTCTGTTATAAATGTTGAAATAGCATTAATAATTAAAACTAGGAAAGATACAATAAAAACTTTTTGATATGGTATGTCATATTTAGAGTTTCAGTATTCAGCAGTTGTATTTGCTTACTTTTTTTATACTGCTTTTTTTATTTTGAAATTTTCCAACCTATAGACAAATTGAATGAGTATCTGTATACCTTTAACTTTTGTTCACCAGTTTTTCACATTTTGTCAAGTTTGTTTAATCTTTATGTATTTACAGACTTGTGTTTGGCTGAATAATTCAAAAGTAATTGCAAACATCATACCACTTAATACTTAATCATGCATAACAACATTACTGTATTACAAACACAATAGCATCACACCTAAGAAAATTAACATTAACATACTGTCCTTATTTTGATTTCCCCAGTTGTTTCAGAAATGTATTTAAACTTGTTTTTTCCCCACTCTCATCCACGATCCAGTCAGTTTACACATAGCATTTGATTGTTATTTCTTAGTTGGATTTGCTTTAAATAATCTTTTAGCATATTATTTCTAGGTCTGCAGTGATGTTAAAAAAAGTGAACATATAGTAACTAAATATGGTTAGTCTTTTTTTTGGTGTTAGTAGTACCAATAGTATTATTTTATAAAATATCTAGTCCATCTCTTATTTTCTTCATTTCATGTCTTGTCTTCTTTTTTAGACACGGTCTTTACTCAGGGACTACAGTACATCAGTAGCTACAAGAGGTGTGATACATTCCAACAAAGCCCGAGGATTTGCTCGTTGCCAAGCAGGAGGATCAGGTTTTCGACCGCTGCACAAGCCCCAGTGGTTTTTAATAAATAAAAAGGTAAAAAAGTATTGTACACTTTGCATAGGTGAATTTCATGGCATGTGAATTACATGTCAGTAAGGCTGGGTGTGCTTTTTAAGTTAAGAAGGAAAAATGGTATTTCATTCTTAGTAAGAAATACTTGCTAAGGCCCACAGTTTTCTTTACATTATGACAGAACATAAAAGGACAATCTTAAGTGCTTAGTTATTTTTTAGGGGGAAAAACTCAAAATTTGAAAGCCCATACCTATTTTGTTAGTTGACTATTATTGGACTCAAAATATAGTTACAGTTATATTTTAGTCTTAATTGAAAATAAACTGTGGCTTTGCCTCTAACCACCTAGACAAATTATTTCACCTAAAAACTATGTGTGTGTACTTGTTTCCCCAGCTGTAAATGAAGAGGATTGAATTAAAGGTAAAAGTCAGGTGGCCCACAAGTTGAATATAACTCATAGATATTTTAAATGGATTGTCCATCTTTAAAAATTAGTATATTAATTCAAATTCAGACATGGATTTATGGCTTCAAAATCTCTGGAATCTCCTGGGGGGGAAAAAGGGAAAGTAAGGCAACACTGGCCCATATTTCTACTGGGCAGCAATCTGCTGAAGCTGAATAGAATTGGCCCCTTGAAGACGGGAGTGGTAGGCACCACTGAGCCCAGCTGCTCTGATTTGTAGGACCTTCCTGGCTCCTGTAGCATCTTAATCTGTGACTCCTGAACTAGGCGATCCCTAAGATGTCTTCCAGTTTTAAAATCATATGGCTAAATATGAGCCCGTCATTCATAACCTGAGAAATCTCAACAGATGTCTTTGAAGAACTTTATGACTTTATCACTTATTCATTTGCTTTGCTCTTAGAGCACATATATTAATTTTGCATTATAGTTACATATGAATTATAGTTACATATGAATTATCTTTCCAAGACTCTAAGCTCCTTGAAAGCAAGATTGTGCTTCTCTCTTTACCAGCCTAACATTTCACCTGTGTTAACTGAAGAAAAGTTCCACCTTGGCAGGGTGGCTCAGCTGATTGGAGCATTGACCCCTACACCAAAAAGTTGTGGGTTATTCCCAGTCAGGGCACGTATCTGGGTTGCAGATTTGCAGGTTCGATCCCCAGTTGGGGCACATGGGGGGGCAACTGATCGATGTTTCTCTCTCTCTCTCCCCCCCTTCTTCTCTTTCTGAAATCAATAAAAAAATATACCCTTGGGTGAGGATAATAAAAAAGAAAAAATAAGTTTTTTCATTGAGAAATAGTGTCCTTGCAAAATTTGTGATGTATGTATGCTCATAAACAATTCTTTTGGTTTTTTAAGTGTGGTTTTTTTTCATTCTACCTTAAATATTGTTTTTAAAAAAATTCTTATTGCTGTTATGTCAAATGTGAAATAGTTGTGTAGGTAAAATGCTTTATTAGATAATGCTAGGATAGTTATAAAGGGTTAATTAGATAAACTCTTAAAAGCATATTTGTAGTATATAAGCCTACACACTTTTGTGATACGATAAATTTAGTGTGTCTAAGAATACCGTATCCATATTTTTAATTTTATTTTTCATTTCATCTTTTTTCTTCCATACAGTATCGGGAAAATTGCCTGGCAGCAAAAGCACTTTTTTCTGACTTCTGCTTACCAGCTTTATGCCTGCAAACTCAGCTGTTGCCGTACCTTGCTTTGCTAACCATTCCAATGAGAAACCAAGGTAATAACATGGGTTTTTATTTTCCCCAGGAAGTAGTGTTTTATAACATTATCATTTTGTAGGTCAACTCATTACTATACACTAGTGAGACTACGTTTTTTCTTTTTCTTTTTTGATCCAGAATTAATATATGCTTTTTGGTTAAAAAAGAAAGAAATCAATAATACAGAAGCATATAAAGTAAAAATTGCAATTCCTCTGTAACCACAGATAATTCCTTTTGACAGATTGGTATAAATTCTCTAGGCTTTTTTCTGTGCATATACAAATATTAGATATAAGCTTTAATTTGCTATGGCACTTAATCATGGATAGCATTTCCTATTTTATAAATTAGTCTAAAGTCAAGGTGCCAGCAAGTCCATTGTCTGATGAGGGCCTGCTTCCTAGTTTTCAGATGATCATCTTTTTCGTATTCTCACGTGGTGGAGAGCAGAGCAAGAAAGCTCGCTCTGAGACCCTCTTTATAAGGATACTAATCCCATTTAGGAGGGCTCCACCCCAGTGACTTAATTACCTCACAAGACTCCACTCCTAAAACCATCACATTGGGGGTTAGGATTTCAATACATGAATTTGAGGTGACACAGACATTCAGTTCATAAAGCAGCAATGTTATCAAGTATATTCAAGTCTTATTCATATTTTTTCAAAATTTATAATTTTATTTAACCTTATTGATAGGTATTTTCTTTGATTTCAATATTATAAACAATGTCCATTAATAATATGTTTACATTGTCTTTCCAAGTTTTAAAATTATAAAAAATGCTAAAAAAAATAGTATGCCTATGGCAATGCACACTCACAGTTTGTCTGAGGTTTGCCTTTTTATGAACTTTACCAATTTTTTCATCATTTGTTTCTCTTTTTTACTGTGTATTTTAAGGGCCACATTTCATTAACAATACTGTCACATGTCTATGGGGTTGATCTGGGTAAAACAGAGAATGTATGCTCTTTTATATTGTATCAGCATGTTCTTTTCTCCTAACTCTTGACACCACTGAGTTTTATTATTTTAAAAGATCTTTGCCGGTTTAAAAGATGAGAATAGTAGTTTGTTTTTTGGGTTTTTTTTTTAATTTTAGAGAGAGAGAAGAAGGGAGAGAAGAGAGAAACACAGATTTGTTGTTCCACTTACACATTCATTGGTTGCTTCTTGAAGTATGTGCCCTGACCCAGGATCAAACCTACAACATTGGTGTATTGGGACAATGCTCTAACCAACTGAGCTATCCAGCCAGGGATAATAGCTTATTATTTTTATTTTTACAATGTATCTTTATTAATTTCAGAGAGAAGGGAGAGGGAGAGAGAGAGAAAAAGATCAATGAGAGTCACTGATCAGCTGCCTCCTGCACGCCCCCATTGGGGATGGAGCCTGAAACCTGGGTACGTGCCCTAACCGGAAATGGAACCTTGATCTCCTGGATCATAGATCGATGCTCAACTGCTGAGCTATGCCGGCCGGGCGAGTGGCTTATTATTTTTATTTCCATTTTAAAAATTATAAATCAGGTTGAACAATTTATTTAGTTATCATTGGTGTATAATATTTAAAATAGTAATAATGTACCACATAACTCAGAAATTTTAAAGATAGGGTTTGTGCCCTGGCTACTGTGGCTCAGTTGTTTGGAATGTCATCCCACACACCAAAACATGGGGGGTTCGATTACCAGTCAGGGCACATACCCAGGTTTCAGATTCAATCCCTGGTTGGGGCCTGTGGGAAGGCAACTGATCGATGTTTCTCTCTCACATCTGTGTGTCTCTCTGTCTCTCTCTCTTCTAGTTCTTCTCTATTAGTGTTTGTTGGAATGTTTACAGGTATCCCATGTTCCTCTGATAGCTTTATTTTTCTTCATGCAGTTTTCTTTCTCTTCAGTTGCACAATTTGTCAGTCTGTGTTCAAGTTAACTCTTTCTTGTGCTAGTCTTCCTTGTGCTAGTTCAAATCTATTGAGCCCCTCTAGTGAATTTTAAATTTTGGTTATTGGACGTTTCAATAACCACTTGTTTTTTTCTATAATTTCTCTCTCTTTACTGATATTCTGTATTTGATGCAGCATTGTCATTACAGCTCCCTTTTTCTTGACTTTATTAGGGTGACATTGGTTAATTAAATTACATTGATTTCAGTTGTACAATTCTATAACACATCATCTGTATATTGTATTTTGTGTTCACCACCCCAAGTCAAGTCTCTTTCCATTACCATTTATCCCCCCATGCCTTGTCTACCTCCCCGGTCCCTTTGCTTCTTTAAGCATGGTTTCCTTTTGTTCTTTGAACATATTTGTAATGGCTCCTTTGAAGTTTCTTCTATTAAATTTAATTCTGGGCCCTCTCAGTTTCTGTTGCCTATCCTTTTCCTGTGTATGGGTCACACTTTCTTCTTTCTTTCCATAGTCTCCTAATGTTTTGTTAAAAATTGGACATTTTAGGTAATACATTGTAGCAATTCCGGATACTGATTTCCTTCCACCCTCTGGGGCTTATTCCTTTGTTTAGTGACTAGGCTAAACTATCTTAATGAATTCGGTTTCTCCCTACAGTATGAAGCATTTGTCACTCCTCACAGAGCTTAGCCTGGGGTATGCCCACAGTCACCTTGTGATGGCAGTGATTTTAGCAGGGATCTCTTTGATTTTATTTCTCCTTGCTTTATTTCTTTTTTTTTTTAATGTATATATCTTTATTTAAATTTCAGAGAGAGGAAAGGAGACGGGGGGAGAGAGAGAGAAACATCAATGATGAGAGAGTCATTGATCAAGCCTGCAACCGGGCATGTGCCCTGACCGGGAATCGAACCCCTGATCGCCTGGATCCTAGGTCAACCGCTGAGCCACGGCCAGCTGGGCATCTCCTTGCTTTATTTCTTAAACTGTCTGCCTTGTTTAACATCAGACCAACCTATTACACTCCACTAATTACTAGCTGATTGGTTTATTGTTTTTAAGAGTGCCAGGGGCATAAATTATTTCAGTCTGATTGAATTAAATTTGGGCAGGTGTAGACTTTGAGGCTTGCCTGAGGTTTGTTCTGACCCCCAGGAGCGCTCCTCTTTGCTGCCTCTTTCTCTGGTTCTTTCAGAGGAGGTAGCTGGCTTTATGTTTAGCTTATTGCTCTTAATTAAGAGGAGGCATTGATTTTAAGATGTCCCTTAAGCTTGAGCTTCCCCACGCTCTGTTTTAAATAAAGTCAGTTCCTTTGGGTAGAACTTCAGAGCTCTTCCTTTGTATGGAATGCCTCTTTCCCCCTTGGCAAAATCCCTGAGCCACTATTCTGGTGGGTGTTCAGCTGCAGGTAGCCTCTGATTTTCTTGGCTTGGCCTCCTGTGTCGACCCTCTGCCCTATGAATGAGTACTCTCCACCTGCTGTGCCTCTGGAGTAGAGCTCCCGTCCTGGACGGAGGCCGGGTGGAGAAGGGGACGCTTGGCTAGCCACACTCACCAGGAGGGAGCCCTATGTTCTTGGCTGCGCCAAGCTGCAGTGAAGTCTCCCTAAAGCTGAGGAAGGGAAGGAAAGAAGTAGGTCATGGCTCAGATGCTTCAGACTCTTGTTAGATTTTCTCGAATAAATGTTTCCTCATAACATTAAAATTTACCATCTTAAACCATTTTTAAGTGTACAGTTTAGTAGTGTTAAGCACATTCACCTTATTGTGCAGCCAATCTCCAGAATTTGTCATCTTGAAAAATCAAAATTATACACATTAAACACTAACTACCCTCCACCCTGCCAGTACCAGCTGCCTCCTATGAATTTTTAAATCCTCACCCGAGGATATTTTTTCCATTGCTTTGTGGGGGGGGGGGGG